TTAATGGAAACGTACTAAAATCATTTTGGTTATTTCGTCAATAGTAATTACCCGGGCCGTCGTTTTTAATGGTTATTTATTTTACGGCGGTAAAATATAAATCTTATCAATATAACGCTCCTTAGATGTTCATTTATTTTTAAATAAATGGGAGTTTAAATAAAAAAACTTCAAGTTACATTGTCCATTATATACGAGCACAATCAGATAATTTCTTGAATGATTATGTCTTCTAACACCACATTCCCTTGGCTTCTCCTAAATTCGAGCCCCACGTTGGGCGCCATGCCATCTAATTCAGTCGAGAATGGATAGAACTTTTATTTTTATCGAGCTTGCGGTGCTGGGACTCTCGTCTTCTTCTAGCCGGCAAAGAGACAAACGAGATGTCGGGACGCCGTGTCTTTCATCGAAGGTGAAGTAAGTTCCTAGAAATGTGGGCAATAATCCATTATATTTTATTGCCTTCTTCCACTCTTGTACACTTTCGAGATGGCACAGTTTCTGGAAGCTTTCAACTGAGCTTGAGTGTCCTAAATGTAAATAATTTGTGGACACTTAGTGTATGGTTGCATCTGCCTATATCACTGGTTTTTAGTCTTTGCATGTCTAGCACTATTTTTGAGGTATATATTCTGTTAATACCTCGAAATATGGTCGCTTCTTAGAGTTTGTGTAAGCATTCCATGAGTACTATAATTTGGGCAGCTTTTAGGAGCTTTGTTTATCCCTTGCGATCTTCGCCACAGGATTGGACAATGCCTTGGTGGATGAAGCAGTAAAACTGACGTCTAGGCTGGCAGTAATGCAATCTCAAAAATTTGTAAAACTTTTTAACAAATTTCCGATTTGTAAAAATTTGGGATCTATTGAAAAATATTAATTTACAATAAATGGGTATTGATTAGTAACTGATTGTATATTATGCAAATAGAAATTTAGTGTATTACACGTACTAACCAGACATCCGTCCCTGGTTACTGAACTGCAAAGTACCAGGGTTGACGTTCGATCCCAGTCTTTGATGAGTCTGCAGAGGTCCTGCAGCGAAGTCCGCCTATGGTTTGGATAATTTGGATACTGTAATTTTGTATGCGGTTTCCCAGTTCGAATTTCACTTAGTTTTTCTTAATTCAAAACTGGACTCTGCTGACTGCATCGGTGTCGTCTGATGCAGCTCTGGTGTTTACGAGTGGCTGAGAGCTTCGTAAAGTACTTCGACGGAAATGTTGGAAACATAGTCGAAAAGGTTATTTCCCTAGAATACGGGTTTCTATTTTGGCCGAAATTGGTCCTACGTAATTGGAGGCGACTTCATGGTTCCGATTGAAAAGTTGAGCGAAAATTTGAAATTCTCTAGGGACTTGGAATACAGTTGCTTAGTTTATACTCTGTGCAACATAAAGAAATTCAATGCAAGAAATTCGAGTTCCTGGGCGTATCATTTTAGAATATCCTAAAGATTGTTGAATATGGAACAGCAATTAAATATTTTGCTAAATACTAGGTTATCTTTAAAAAATTTACACTCACCATGATACCCAATTAAAATAGTATGAACATAATGCATCTTTTCCATTTGTACGATTATGACACGCAATAAAACATTGAAATAGCGATGAACGATACATTAAAATTTCCATGCAGGGAATAGACAAAATTATTTTAAAAAGATAGCAATTGCTTGATTTATTTATGCTTACTAACTGCTTACTAACTTGACAATGGAATATAGATGTATCTTACATTGAAACAAATTGCCTCAGACAAAGCGTAGAGGTTTTTTAAGAAAACTAAAGGTCTAAAACTTGAGGACTCACTTCCTTCTATCTATTAATTTTTGCTTGGCAAATTTGGTCTAACTAACTATACCACCAACGTAGAAACCAATTTAAATGCAAATATTCTCGGCGTAGCGAAACGCAAAGTAAAGGTTAATTAACTTTTATGCGCCTTAATTTGATTACACTTTTGTAGGTACTTGATATACCTAACGTAAGAGTAAAACCTTGGTAGTAGCAAAATGAATACATATAGGATCTATATCTATATAGGTGCTTTGAGAACGGAATAACATCATAAAGAAAACAATACCTAATGAAGCAGAAGTTTTAATATTTGTAACAGCCCCCGGAGTTGTCAAAGAATCGCTGTTTACTCGTTACTGCTCACTTCTCTTTCAAAACATTGGTAAAAACCACGTCAGTAGCAGACTGTTATTAATTTATTTTCACTGTATGATGCAAAACTTGTTACTCAATAAAAGATAAACCAGCTAATCCCAAAGTGGCGATAGTGATTGGTGGAATCAAAATTATTCCAAATTTTACCTAGGTTTATATGCACGCTCTAATAATTAGCAAGGACATCCATATTAATATTGAAACATCAATTTAATTGTAATTATGATGCTATAATTACCACGTCTAATTTTCTATTGCCCGATTTCATATTAGTGCTATTTCCAATAATAATTATGTAAGCTCATTACCATTATTAAGTTTATGTTCAAACCCACGCCATGATCGCCTAATGGCGGAATATCATTATGTACGTGTTCGGTACCGCAAACATTAATCACTGACTAGTTTAGTACAGTGAAGTCTTAAAGGAGAATGTATTATATGGAATAGTTAATAGTAGATGTCAAGTTACTGTTAAATTCCTAACAACAGTTTTAATTTGAATAAGTAACGCAAAAGAATTCCAATTAAACAAGTGGATAGACCGACATAAATAAGTTAGCTCCGCCCACAAATGTGCAAGCAAAACGTTCCAGTTGTGTGTTTAAAAATCGTTCAAGCGAATAGGATCGAGTACTCAGGTCTATATTATTGCTTACAAAACAATTTCGCATTGGAATTTGTTTCGAAAGTGACAAATAAAAAGTTAACCAGAAGTGGCAGCAAATGTGATACCTTATATGATGCCTGTCAAGGTACTTAACACTTAACAAGAGAGAACTGCTCTTGCAACATGCATAAAGCAAGAGAAGGGTTCAAAACATTGCCAAGGAAATGAATGCTATAACAAATAATGGTGAAGTTTTTTAACACAAAATAAGAAAGTCAACTCCCAAGACCGACTAAGACCACTTGATGACTCTCCTTAATTCTCGTCAATTTTTCCACTGTAGAGAACGGTGCCCACTGTTAAAAAGATGCAGCAAAAATTTGTCCGTGATACTGAATTTTCGGTGGGTCAAAACTAGAAACAACCGAAAACTTCTTATGGAGATACCCAAAATCCAGCGGCAGAGACTTAATTTCTTCAGAAGCATAAAGCGTTATAGAGAAAAAAAAACAGAGCAATTATGTTTATGGACAAGACATTCAGTCTTCTCATACGCATGAGAGCGCAAATGATGATTTATGTCGGCCAGTTTTAAAAGATCAAAGACATATTAAATTCTGAAAATGAAAATGGATTCATACTTCAAGTCAAACTGTAGAAGTCTTCCTCTTCTTCTTCTCCCTGTGGTTAGCTCTTATTCAAGTCCCATAGCACCGCCGACTTATTAGGCCTATTGTGGGTCCCACTGTTCAAACTTATTCAGCAAATAGCTTTGTCCCTTTAACAAAGTCCTAAAGCTTTCTTGTCAACACTTCTCTCAGCTTCTTGGGTTGCAAAAAGGGTTTTCTCAGGAGCGGCATTCTACTACGTGCAAATCCTGGACACTCGCCCAGGATATGCAAAGAAGTTTTATCCGCCAAGTCACATCCTCCACAGACTGGACTGTACAGATGTTTCCTAAAGTGACAGTGTCCCGCTATAAGTCCCGTCACATTCCTGAGCCAAATTTTATTCAAGCTCAGCAATTCTTTCGTTCTTTTCTGCAAAGGACAAAAGTTCCTTGGTTTCAAAGTACAGTACTTCCTATGTTCTGACACAGTCAGTCAGTTCATTTGCCCAGAACCCTCCTGATCACACTGAGAGATTTACCACAGAAAGGCTCTGAACTAATGAAATCTGTTCCGAATCGACCCTTTTACATCTTATTCGTTCTGGCCGAATGTGTCCTTTCTCAATTTTGCACAGCACTGCCTGAGTCAGAAACACAGACTTATTTGTCGGCCTGTACTGTTTTGAACTAGATTAAAATAAGTCTCCGTCCAAATTTCAATTGAATTAAATCGTCCCAGTATTCCAGTCGTATTCCATTTGAATCTCACTGAATTTGGAGACCACCAAACAAGTTAGCTACAATATTATTACAATTTTTTATCGCTATAACGACAGACTAGACTAACATTTTTAGTCAACAGTCATCCAATTTTCTACATTGTGTACATAATTTTACAAACTGTTTGTGCGAATTATGTTGATGTCATCGCTTTGTATATGGAAACGTTGGCTAATTAACGAGTATTGGCACATTGAATCATACAGCTGCAGCATTAACCAGAATTATCTCTATATGCGCGAATTATTTGGCAGATTTGATATTCTGTTATTCATTAGTGTTTGCATTATTACAGAGTATGTTGTGCGACGCGAAAGAATCGAATGGAATCATTTTAACAAATCAACAAACTGACAAATGGCTCGACAGTTTGGGTCAAATAAACGAATAGGGTTTCCCTAATGTATGGGGATTCAGTAGAGGATTTAACAGGTATATGTATTTATATTTAACATGGAATACTGATTTATACGTGTATGATAATCTCTAACAACTCTTTGTACAATTTGCTCTATTTACATTTTCAGAATTAAATAATACGGCGAACAACGACATACTGTATTGGAAACACAATACACTTTTCTCTGTGGACACACTGAATTGAACAGTTCTAAACTATCAAGTGATGCCTAGACAATTAATGTGAGTGCTTAATAAGCTGTCCACTAATCGCTTACGTAATGATAATCGATAACAAGAGATGCACGGCTTGCAAGTGCACATAGAAGTTGGTCCGAGTTACACAACTCTATATAATAATTAGCGAGAGGACGATGTCTGCTCGGGGCAGGAAAGCAAAGGAAGCGATTCTACTCACGTTGATGTTCCTGCCAGGGTCATTCTCGATAAGCTGACGTGCCAAGTCCTTGCAGGATTTCCGTGAAGCCGGGGGTACCTTCGAGTCGTCCTCCCAGTACCTGGAAGGCGAATGGCCGTATAGAGCTGCCGGCGTAGCGTGCGTTATCCTGGTGTTAGTCACGATGCCCGTTGATTTTCCTGTAACAGAAGAAAACGTACTTTCATTTAGATTGTCTGAAGCTGTTGTTATAGATAGATATTTATTTACTAATCAAATGTAACATACGTTACATACAATTTTGAAAGGTCGATCTTTAGTTTATTTTTTAATTTTGTTGTAGCGTACAGGGTGTTCGGAAAGGAATATTACCTATTTTAGTGACGAGTTCTGGGAACAGACGGGGAGGATATAACCACTTTTGTTAAGGTAAGAACGTTACCAGAAAACGTCATTGACGTTCTAAGTGAAATTTTCAATTTTTAGTTTTTTTAATAACTTCATTATTATTTGATCGATTGTAACGAAATTTGATGTAGTTGGGCTATTATTGATATAGAATAAAATAATCGAGTCACTTTTGAGTTATAGTGTAGAAGGAGCCACTTTATCCTACAGCGTAGTACACTGTCATAAAAACAGTACACTTTTTTTATTAGGAAAAGAAAATTGCCGCTATTGCAACAAAAATTTTTTGGGTATCTATACATCTACAACTCTCTGAAATAAAGAATATTAACAGGACATAAATAAAGCTGTGATAGAGCCACAATTCAATGGCGTGCCGAGCGGATCAACCGAGACATGCGGCAGCCGCTGCCTCAGAATGCTTTTCACGTTCGCGACATCTTAGTATACTGTTGCGTTGTTATCGTTCGGATGTTCCGTAATTAATTCCTATCCGTTGGTGTTTATGGTGGTGTATTTTAGACAATTTAATTTGTTGCTTTTTAATAAATAATGCGTACGCCTATGTCCCGCGGCTCAGTTCTGAGAGCCTTAAACATAAATTTAAATATTGTGAATCATATTACAACGGTAAGAAAAGTGACCACCATTTTCACGTTCCTGTTCAAAATAATGTATTTTTTAAGAATCCCACCATTTCTTCAGTCCGACTCGATAAAGGTTTCATCACGTTAATGCTTGTATACCGTTAATTTATTACTTGTGAAAGGAATTTTCATTTATACGCTTTCAATCGATTCCAATATACAGAAATTACACAGAGTTGTTATCAAAAGCTATCAAAAGTAGCGAAAACTTCAAATATCTGTCATCTGTCCATCGATAAATTTAAATAATTTGATCACACTGGCTGGCCAGCTATTGGTTTTATAGGCATTAGAAATACAGGACTAGCTTAGAAAATCAATGAGAAGCTACGTTATCAAGTATGGTAACCTTAAAACAATAAAATGTCATAGTTTAACAAGAGTTAATATAATACAGAGTAGGAATTTAGGATTTTTCTATCGACTCAATTACTAAATGTGACGTTATTGCAAACAGAACGTGTCACATTTTAATTCAAACACATGAATATGTCGTCAGTGAAGCCTCCGATCCAAAAATGACCTAAATGAAAGTTGTTCAGTCCATTTGGGAGAAAGTGTTTGGTGACCTTAAACTTCACCTTAATCGTAACCTTGAAGGTAAATTCAAGGTCAACATCAAGTTACTTAATCATGACTTTGAATTTGATCATGACCTCTACCTTCAAGGTCATTTGAAGGCCGACTAGTGACGAATGAAAGCGGGAAAAAATGTCTCGTTTCTCAACAAAAACATAGCAGAATTGAAAAAAACATATTTGAATACGTTTCAAAGTAAATGAGGTTGAGTGACAGTGAAAAATTGAAAAAAAATTAAAAATATCACGCCACTATTCGTGGAACTTTGAATTACGAGGACATTTCAATGCTATTCCAGGGTTAACTCTTGATTTGATCTTCAAATGAACTTTACATTGATCTCTTATTACTTTGCAATGTAATCGGGTGTATAATTTACCGCTTTTCCAGGATACAGCCTCAGAAATACAGGTAGGTATCGATATACAAAAATACAAATAACCTTCACGATTAAATCCAAGATCACCGATCCATGGTCCTGAACATCCTTAAAAATATTTGTAGAGGTCATCAAGGTCGATTTATGTAGTCGACCTTCAAATGACCTTACCAAGGTCAAGGTCAAACTTTAGTAATTGAAGTTAAATAAATCGAACTATGTTGAGTATTCTAGTTTCCAATAATAATATATTACTTTTTTATAATTTTAGTAAGGTTTAAAACTTTAAATTACATTTAAACACAAAATATGACCACAAATATGACCACTTTAAATTTATGTAGATTATAAACACATGGAAGAATATTTAAACCCGCAGACCTCTAAAAAGTCCGTAATGTGTCCTGAGCAAGTCCCTAGCCCGAGAAACTTTTACTATTCCAGTTTCGTGTTTATTTTCTACAAATAGGGATTGTTTTAGTTTGTCGTTAACTGTTCCGAGCTAATTTGGCAACTTCAATTTCGCAATTCTCGTTTAACTTTGAGCCGTAATGAACTTTTCCATTTAACATCAGTTAATTCTGTGTACAGTAATTTTAATCGTTTAAGTAATCCCATTTACATTTTGCCCTTGAACACAACGGCTTCTAATTTTCTGTATAAAGGATTCTTTTATAAAGATGGCTGCGGAATAATTTTAATTGTAATTCCGCTGTAAAAGTTTACGGCGTACACAAAAGTAAAAGGAATTTTTAATATAATAAAATGGGATCTTCCCCTTTCTCCAACTAGACGCGTCGATAAGTTTCCACTGTTCTGGGCTTTAAGTTTAAATGCAAAGGAAAGGGAATTTAATTATAATCTCGCAAAAATTTAAACACGTTTGTTAATGATTAACACAATGTTAGCTAGTATAATTCTGTTTTCATTTAATCAACTTTGTATCTACTATAGTAAGTATGTAGTATAGTATACTTCCTCATAGTAAGCTAGATATAGTCAAAACAATGTTTAGTAACAGACAACCGCCCCTTGTCACTTGTTTTGTAGATAAATTCCGTCTCCTCTAGTGGGTCGATCTGTCAGTTAAAAGTTTCCAACACTACTAATCCCCTAAAAGGCGCATTAAATACCTAAAGCTCACAGCCGCATTATGGATCATCTGTTTCCTTTGATCAAAACGGCGGAAAATTTAATTTTTAACAAGGTAGTATCCCATCCCTCAACTGTTTACCAGAACGGACCTCTTCCTGGTTCCCAGCAGGATTTTCGTTATTAAATAAATAATTTTTTAATTCAATTTCAGGTTAAATTATGTTTGAACTGAAGCACCTCCCTTTTCTATTTATAACTGACGACTGTAGTAGAAAATCTTTAACCAAATGTACCGGCTTGTTCATTATGCGGTCTGTAAAAGTTTCCCTTTGATCGCGACAAAGCATTCATGAGTCAGTGAGTCATTTTTCTCTCAATCTCAGCGGCTAAGGAGTCTAGCAGACGCCGTTTTACTTGAATTGATTTAAAAAATCAATGGAGCGAGTTTCCAATTGTTGCACGTCAAAATAGTGACTCTACAATAAAACCACAGACAATATAGCTTATCGCTCCAGACCGCGTATTAAATGCTGGAACTTGGCAATCCAAAAAGGATGTAGGCTCTTCTGAAGTGGCATCCGACAATATTTAGCGTGGTAACTCTTCTACTTGGTAATAGGTAGCAGTTCTAGCGGTTCCCAGATCTAGCAGTGTTTCCAATTAATAACTGGGAATACATGTACATATAAATTTAATGCATTTAACTATATAATTGAAGAGTTATATGAAACTTATTTTTTGTTTGGAAATGACAGCTGTGTTAAACGCTAAATAAAATAAATCAAGTTAGAATTAAAACTATGAATTTACCTAATTAATTATTTTTTATGAATTCGCCTTGGAATCGGGCGTCGACTTCCAATTTGGTACGATAACACCTAGATATGTTAAAAAAATTGCGTTATACAGGTTGTGTAAATATGTAGCAAATCCATATTCTTTATTTTATCACGCAACAGATTGCAGGTAACAATGTGCAAGAGTTTGGGCAGGAATATCGGCAAACTTATTTTGGAGGAAGAATCCTGTTAACAAATACCGTGAAAAATATATTTAGAAATCTTAGGTGGCCAGATAACAGTCCCGATCTCAGTCCCTTAGATATATTTTTGTGGGGACATTTCAACAAAATATATTATTAATCAAAATCTACAAGTAATGAGATAAAAAATACAGGATGAAATGTTTGATAATCCTGAATTTATTTTAACGTAATAATTAAAAATTAAAGTATATTTTAAAGCGTGTCATTCACAATTACGGGTATGAGGAAAATTTGTAAAAATTAGTAGGTATTTTAATGTTACTTCGTGTTATTCGTTTATTCTCCTTATGTTGTTATAAAGGTTAATTATAGAAAAGTTATTTGTTATTGCAATAAAGATGTATTTTAATTTTTTTAACGATTTTTTGTTAGTTTAAACTATATTTTATGCCAGCAAATTTTGATAAGGTCAAAAGAAATAAAGGAAAAATTCTACATTCGTATTGAAAGTTTTTTTAATGGTTAAAGCTGTAAGTGAGTCTCAAAATACAAACAAAAACCTTGTACCTACATTCCGATGTACTAATAATCCACCTTACATATTAAATAAATTTATAAAAATTATGGCATGATCAAATATTAAAAATATATATATTACTAGCTGTCTAAAATATTATTATAAATTTGTTTTTTTGAAAATATATTTTCTGCAGTACTTCAATACCAAGAAATGAAAATAGTAGCTAATTAAGGATATTATGATTAAATAATATAACTGTGACACTGCTGCAGAATATCCAGTCGTCTGTAGTTGACTACATAGGTATTCGTTCATTCTTTAAAATAAACATTTACATTTAACAATAAGTAAGGAAATACAATAACGCAAAAATAGGCGTTGAAAAAAAAAGTGTACAAAATAAATCCGTGCGGACGAGTGACAAGCATTGTTAAACTGTTGTTTATGCGTTGCTAGGATACGCGTATGTATTGTCTAAGAATGTCGGCCGGCCGCTATTTTAGCTGTGATAAAACTATAAATATTTCATTAGCTCCATTAGTCGCAGTCATCCGGATGGTTAAATCTGGGAATGTTACCCCTTGAAA